TTGCGCGTCCGAGTCGGAGAAAAAACATGGACGCCACCCGGAAAGCTGTTGCTATGGTAGCACTGTCCGAGTACCAGGCGCTTATCAAAACTCAGCCGTTTGAACTTCTAAAATTTTCACTTTATTTCATGTTTTAGTTTATCTTCTGTTAGCAACGCTAGCCACGTTAGTAACACCCGTCTGAAACAAGGCTTCATTCAATATTGCACTCACAACAAGTCCCATACCCACAGGCAGTGATACGGACGCAGTAAGGTATTGAGTGATTTAAAATCTTCATTTAAACAACCAAAGCGGTCCAAAAACAATGAAAACAATTCATACTAAAGTCACACAGGGCGCAGCCATCTTGGATTCCGTGTTGGAATTCTCGCTCAGTGTCCTCACGGTTGTCCGAAATCCGAGCGGGAAAATCTGAGGAAAGAGGGCGTGTTGGTGTGTGTTGCTAGGCAACGTCTGTCTTCCTAGTCGGAACTCCGACACGGATCAATAATAGAACGCACCATTAGTAGATTAACATGGGAGGATTTGGACTTGAAAAACGGAGTGTACTGATGCCTTTCTGCGGTTAAAACAACATTCCTTCTTATGTTCATTAATGTTTATTTGATGCTATAAATGAACTAGAAGGAAGAGATGATCGGATCACGCGCAGCTTTAACTGATGCTCTACAGCGATCTGTCACGACACATTAAAGAGCCACAAAACGGTATTTATTGTTTAAATTTCTTTTCTTTTTTTTAAGACCCAAATTTGAGGTGAGACTTTGTAAGTAAGCGAAAAGTAACCTGGTCTGTCCTGTGACTGTCTGTCAGCGTGTTGTCAGTCCGCGATGTATTTTTCACTGCGTGAGAACATGGTGTGTGTGTGTGTGTGTGTGAGAGCAGCGTAGCTTGTCGGACATAGCGACAGTAACTAAGGGCGGCGGGTCTTTGCGAACGGTCAATTATAAGATTTCTAGCAGAGGCCGTCAGGTTTTGATTTTATATCTGTTGGTATTTGCTAGAATACATAATAACATGTATCTTAAAAAGAAGTCCAAGATCTCCAGCAAAAAAATAGGCCCACAACATTAAAGATCCAGTGCGCATGGGGTACTTTTTATCCCTGTGTTTGCTGCCAAAAAAGTTCTTTCTCAACTAATTTCTGAAATTCTCCATCTGTGAACATTTGAGAGTCTTTGGACACTCAAACTTTTCTCTTCGCACGCTATGAGAAAACAACACAAAAGGCCAAAATCACAATGACTAAAATCAAAGAATATGAATCTGATGTGCAGCAAAAGATTGTTTAGCTTCACAAAATAGAAGAAAATAGCTAAAACATTGAAAACTCTTATTTCCACCGTCAGGGAAATAATTTAAGAAATTCCAATCAACATGAAATGTTACGAATCTGCCTGGGAAAGGACGTGTGTCTATATCGTCCTAATGCACGTGGAAATGAGCATTTTCAATGCTTTAGCTATTTTCTTCTATTTTGTGAAGCTCAACAATCTTTTGCTGCACATCAGATTCATATTCTTTGATTTTAGTCATTGTGATGGAGGATTAAGGGAATTTGGCCTTTTGTGTTTTCTCATATTTATACTCTTGTGGAACAGGAAGTCATGGCTGGATAATTTCATGTTCCCAGTCAACATGGTGTGCTACATTTTTTTTTTTTTAATATGAATGGGAATATACTTCAGAAACATTGTAGTAATAAGAATGTCTAGGGGTGCCAATAATTGTGGCCAATGTGCATTAGAGAAAAACATTTGTTTCATAATGTGATTTTTATTTAATTTTTTACTTTCAATTCTTTTACTTCAATAAATGGTTAGAATTTGGCTAATTCTTTGAATGAAAGATCAAAAGGATAATCAATGCAGATTTATTTTCACAGCCATCTTACTTCATATTTACAATAATTCTGACTACGACTGCATTACTTTACAAAACTCAATTTACTTGATAAACAAACACAACCATCATTCTTATCTGCTTTATATCTCGCTACTATTATTTTATATAATTGTTTTGACTAACTTTTTAGTTTCATTGCTTTACAGTGATGCATTGGCCGTTGAATGGCTGTATTGTGCTTGTGTGTCTGATTAACTCTGTGAAGGGTCTACCACACGTCCCATGAACACAACGCAGCCTGTGCGATGCTCGTAGATGAGGAAGAGAAAGGGCCGGTCCACCACGAAACGCGTCTGTGTTGATAAAGGCATGAATCCGACGTGCGTCAATGCTGCGGCCTCTGTACCTTCTTCATTCACTGTAATGGTGCCCTGATGCTTGAACTGAGAGAGAGAAGAGATTACAGGAATGAAGGGTGCAATGAAAGGTCAAAGAGGATGTATTCATAAGAGATTAGGCGTAGGCGAACTAAAGTGCTCTCAACATAACAGGGAAAATGCCTGTTTCTTTATATCTTGTGATGCATATTTGATTATAAGTGCAGAAAGATACAGGTGAAACTTGAAAAATTAGAATATGGTGCAAAAGTTCA